CTGATTATGCTACATTTTAAGAAGGCACACAATAGAAATTATATGCAAGAAAAAATAGTGCAGATTACTAAATGCAAACACATAATGAAACTGGCCTGCGTGACTCTACCCTGCAATCAGTACTGAGTAGGGTAAGCCGTTCAAGTTTTACCACCAACAGTAAACTGAGGTAATTTGCGTTGACTAAAAAAAAAAAAAAAAAAAAAGTAACACTTTAACAATTAATAAATAATGGGGTACATGTGAAAAGAATGTTACTACAGTTTTTTTTTTTTCTTTTTTTACAATTAACATGTTTGTGAAAGATAAAACTCCTTTTCAATGATAATTTCCATATACATAGGTTTCAGATCTGCTGCAAAGATTACACAGCCTGCTTTTTTTTTCTTTTTTTAATTTAAATGTGATTTTTCTAACAGTGAGCGGATATTTTCTTAAGGAAGGGGGTAGGGGGGGGGGGCAATTTTCAAGAGACTTTTAATGTCCTAAACAGTGCAAATTCCTCTGCCCAATTTTTTTTTAACCCAAATTCAGTTTTTCTTGAAATGGTAATGATTGGAAACCCAACAGAAAATACTGCTCTCTTGTAACATGTATGACATTACAGCATTAAGTGTATGTAATGGTATACACTTAATGCTGTAATGTCATACATGTTCAAAGTAAATACATTGGAACTCCAGCCAAACATGCTCCCAAAAGCCCCTTTGAACCCCTTTGCCTGCCAAAATATTTGCAATTTGGACCATGTATGCGACACATTTCTGTGCTCAGGTGTGAACACCCAGGTACCTCCAACCTGCTCATCACTGCTCTGCAGCGCTGGCTCATTGCAGAGGTCCTCTTGCAGGTTTTTTTTTTTATATTTGCTTGGAGTTCTGCCTCAAGGTAAACTGCCATTTTGCAAAACCCAATACGTTTTATCACATTTTTAGAGTTCATAATACAAAATAATTTTACCCCGTTTTTCATTTAATTGATAAAAACTGTACCATATGGTCAGGTTTTCTCAACCCATAGAACTGACTGTAAAAACACGAAGATAATATTCAGGGGCAAATTGATCATTTAGTTATGGAATAGGGTTCACTGAACCCCATGTAACAAGGTGTCCAATGTAAGTGTCTATAATTAACATATATTAAAGGGGGAATAAGTTAAAGTGCAATTTTATGGTTAATGCCACATCATTAAAAACATAAAAACTAATGGTTAGACAAATTCTCTCTGTCCAGAACTGCTCAGCATAGACAGATTTCTGTTAAAGGTGTCAATTCAATCCATGTATATGAAGACTGAGAATTGTGTTTACCTGCATATATCACATTTAGCTTTTGGGTGAAGATAGGTTGGGGCAAAGTCTGCTGGGAACTCTTAACTCTGACACTTACACACTCAGGTGAAATGACAAGGTTTCTACATAAGAGTCAGACAAAACAGGTTTTACACAGTGGAATAGGTTAAATATACCCTGGCAAATGATAGTAGGCAGGGTGTGTACCTATAATTGCAAAAGTACACATTTAATAATTTTTTTTTTTTTTTTAAATTAAAAACAACCCACAAAAAACACCCCGCACCCACCCCCCACATTTAGGATTGTTCATTAAAAGTTTTTGTAAAGCCAAATTTCATAAAAAAAGGCAAATGCAACAGTTTTTATCCTGTCCCACAAAGCTGGGTGTCTGTCCTATAAACAAAATAAAGCTAGTTAATTCTAGAGAGGGTCTTCAGCTGGACAAATGTAGCATCCCTTTTTGGTGTCAGAAAAAAAGGTTTTCATTTTACAATTATATACTAAAATGTGCTTTCGATTACATGAAAAATGCACTTAAAACCTCTCTTTCTAAAAGCAGAGGACCCGTAGAATTAAATTGATGATAGCTGCAATTTTTTGTTGCATATCTGCAGTACTGTTTTTCTAAATTTATATTTTCAGTGAAAAAAAAAAAAAAAAAAAAACCAGTAAAACAAAAGTTTGAGTATATTTTGTGTGCACTAAAATTTACTGTTAAAATATAAGAGAGGACATTGTCGAGTAAATAGACACCGTATATGTCAAGCCTCAGAATTGTGTGCACCTAGGAAACAGCAAAAACTATGATGCCAAAAACTGTTCATAGGAGACTTTAACACCATTAAAATTTACTGTAAAATGATGGTCCTTGAACTGTCCCTCGCTGGTGTGTGCAGCGAGACCCAATGGGTGCTGCACAATCATTGTTTATGTACATGTGCATGCCTGATGCCAGCATTTAGTCGTATGTTCATAAATGTGAGGGCGGGAGGGGATTGAATTTTTTTTGGTTCACTTTATTTTTTTTTTAAACACTTTTTTTAATTTTATTGCTATAACAAGGGGTTTGAGAAGCCTCCATGTGATAGCAGAATACCAATGCCCAGCTCTCTTTAAGAAGATATTAGGGGACTAATTTCTCCCTGAATTCCGCTGAAGCAGATCAAGGACAATTTCTCTCAAGTCAGATGTTTACCTGGCCACAGCAGCTAGGGCTTCACAGCTCTGAACCTGGGAGTGCACAGAGCTGAGTACTTCCTGGTTCATACAGCACAGGACATATCAACAAATGAAGTGGAACTTTTGAATGTCCCAGGCTCTAAGTCCAGGACATGTGGGGAGGCAAGTGGGGTGTGTGGAAGTGGGTACACCTTCATTTTCCTGTAGAAGTTAGGTGATCTTACAGCTATCTGAATCACTTTAACCCTTGGACTGCCTACCATAAGTACAGAATGTAAACAAATGTTACATTTTTCTGCAGGCTGCCAGAATTATTGTTAAAGTATGCACGTGAAGAAGCCCTTGGGTAATATAGTTCAATGTGCTGCACTAAAAAGGAGGTGTAAAGATTTAACAACATTTCACTTTGGATTGGGTTTATGGTAACAGCAAGGCTGGCTGTCTATGCAATTTCCTCTATGTATTTACAATGAATAAAAATTGCAGAATGGAATGTGAGCTTTATACAAAGACTTCTGAAGCATGTTAATTTATTAAACAGTCTTTGGATTTTCCTGAAGCAGTTACAAAGCGCCCCCTCAAGTGCCAATATTTTCTTCGAGAAAAGAAATTCGTGAGACACTGATTTTTAGGGAATAAACAAATGACAGCCTTCTAATTTTTAAAAACAAATAAGGCAAAATATTTTTCTGGCTGATTACTGGCACACTGAAAACAATGTACTCAAGAGAGGACAGAAACGTGATATGTCAACTTATCAACAGCTTTTTATATTGAGCACCACATAGTAAACAAGTGTGGTTTTGCTGAATCTACAATGCAAGATTAAAACAGTTTTTTGAATTTGGTGGTTTTAAAATCATGGACTTTGAACTTACATTTCAGCTAAAAAAAATAGGATGTATAAAGTGAATCAAGTATTCAGTCATGTACTTTCTTCAAAATATCACTGACATCTTACTGTGGAATAGTTTCCCTTGATAATTTTGCTGGTGAAATGCAGTAGGACACATAGAATATTTAACCTATTAAAACATTACACAAAGTTAAAAGTGGCAAAGACTTGAAATGGGCAGGGGAATAAAGGACTTTAAAACCAAATAAATTTATAGCACCATCAACTTTCCTATTTAAAACAATTGATCCCTTTAGCCATCGATATCTTTTAGCAACCAACTGAATATTTTTGGTAGTTAAAAGGAACAAAAATCCATTAAAATCCGTACCAAGTCATAAATGAATAGATTTGGAGGACACTTCGATAACCCACTGTGGATGAACTAATGCCATAGTTTCCATAAAACTTTGTAACAGTCACGGAAACGTTAACTAAAGTTGTCTAATCTGCCTCGCTTTATTGCGTTGTACAGAACAATGGTTTGGATTAATGAATTTTACTACTTGCTTAATCAAGAGTAAAATTTCATTAAGGAAAAAAAAATAAAAAATAAGCACCATTCTTACATTCTGAGAATACCCATATGCAATACATTTCACATCACATAAGCTCAAGTAAACATCTAATACTAACACATTACACACATACTCACACACCTATTAGGACATAATTTTAGGTTGAAAGAGCAATTCAAGTGCAAATTATGCTCTGAAAAGGAGACTGCATCAATCAGTATCCTAGTGAGAATAGGAGAAAGACAGATGAGTTGTACCTGTCTAAGCCATGGAAGTTATGGTTCCCTAGAGGACTGACATAGTACTAGAAATATTTCAAATACTGATGGCATGGCAGACATCACAGCTAATGGTTACAGATGATGGGAAGACCAGAGAAAGAATAAAGCACTAGAACTCAGAATCACTAAAGTGCCTAGCTGGCAGGGGGATTTTGCAGCAGTGCATAGTGGGAATGTCAACCAGGGATCCATCAACTGGCTAAATGCAGCACCACATTTGCATAAAGTGAAAAGCATGTGATTTTGCAGTGCCTAGTATTTATATTAAGCATGAGACAGAAAGACCATTAAGGAACAGTTTCTAAAGGAGTGGAAAGAAAGAACACTAGATTTAGAATGAAGTTAAGGTGCCGCTTGCCCATGTAGTCCCGTAACCCTAAACAGAATTATTGAGCTGCCCCTGAAATAAATATTAAGGCCTGGTGACCCTTCAACAGTATAATGGCTTTCATGATCTTACAGCAGCAAAGACATGAATTGCACAGGCGAAACCTCCAAAATACAGCAATGGAGGCTTCTTTATCACCTTCAACAACACAAGATTGTGAAAGCTTCGGCAACCGATTCAAGAACCACAGAATAAAAAAAATGTACCCAGCAGTAAAACTCCGTTCCACCCAACCTGGGCCTCCCTCCTAAATACAGGAAGGTACAATACTACGTAAGCTTCAGTGCAGGCCAGGACAGCTCAAAAGAGCAGCTAAAATTAAAGCCCAGGCACAGCTCATACTTCATACATGCTGTGTCTTGTTCTCCTTTAAAAGTGCCCTATACTTCTTATCCTAAATAAATAAAAGTAAGGTTTTGGGTAACCCGCAGGGCGGGAAGAGCTACTCCGTGTAGCAGCCATCCATGGCAATGGAACTGTGCCGATCCTTTGTGTAGGGGCAACTGCCACCATTGGGGATGGCAGTCTTGGCAGCGATGCCGCAGTTCTTCAGGAGGTTGAAGCTGAAGGGGAGGATGGCATCTTTTGGTGGGAAAGGCTTCATGGTGGATAGGATAAGTGCCAAGCAATCCGCTACGTCTTTGTTGGGAGCACAGGCCAAGGCTGGGGTGTGACCTGCTGTCAATAATGAAAGAAAAAAACGTCATGCAAAAATTACAAGCTCTTAATGATTTTAAACAACTCCAAGACTAATATTTTTTGCTTTCATAAGGATTTTTCAAACTAAAGTTGAGTCCCATCACCAACATGCATATGCTCCTGGTTTATTCTCATCTATCCTGCACTGCATGGGAAATTAACGAAAACAAGCATGCGCATGATGTTCTGACACCTGTTATGCGTGCACCCATACTACTAAATGGCATAGCAATGAAAAACATTGCATTAGAATATGTGCCTTCAAACTAAGTCAATGACAGCTTCCATTATTTCCATTTTGAGAGGTTACATTTAAAGTGACCCTGCCTTAAGAGAAATACTGAGCTAAAAATACTATTACTGGCCTTTTAGAAAATGCTTGTTGCCTGGCATCAATACTACAAGTCACAGTGTTGAACTAGGAATGCTGGAAATAAGTGCCAAAAAAGTGCTAATCCCTTATTCCTATACCTGTGACAGATCAGTGTCTCTGAAAGCCAATGTATCAACATGATAGGCAGGCAACTACCATTTTCAGAAGGAATGGTCAGCAATGATAGCCACCATGATTCCCTATGGGCCGATTTCCTTTAGCTTGCATCACATGTGCACATCTGATAAAAGGAAAAGCATACAGAAACAGTAAAGAAATGTTTGTTGCATGCCTACAGATGTAAAGTGTCTGGAAAAGTTTTTTTTTTCTCCGGAAAAATTAAAAAACAAACAATTCAGTGTGGCGTAATCTTATAAATTGAAAGTCATTTAGTTACACTGCAAATTGCAGCTTTGCTCTCAGCAGAAATTGCACTGTGGAAGTGTTTCCAAACATTTTACCTTTAAAAAACTCCTGGCAAAAAACGTGGGATCTCAGGGAACGCCTGAAATAATTTTCAAATGTACAGCTCACAGAACACTGATGTGATCAGAGAGTAGTAGATATAACAATTCTTAGAAACAGCATTCAACAATGGAACAAATTGCAAAACCTATATCCTTAATGTGACACTTGTGCTTGCTTTTTTTTTTTTGCACAGATGCTCAATCCTGGGTCAAACTTGAGATAAGCAGTGTACAGGAAGTCAGCAGAGCAGAGGGGAAGGGGGGTGAGACACAGTACAGTACATGGGGTGAACAGTACAGGGAAGGGGGGTGAGACACAGTACAGTACATGGGGTGAACAGTACAGGGAAGGCCAGGAGAGAACAGTACAGGGAAGGCCAGGAGAGAACAGTACAGGGAAGGCCAGGAGAGAACAGTACAGGGAAGGCCAGGAGAGAACAGTACAGGGAAGGCCAGGAGAGAACAGTACAGGGAAGGCCAGGAGAGAACAGTACAGGGAAGGCCAGGAGAGAACAGTACAGGGAAGGCCAGGAGAGAACAGTACAGGGAAGGCCAGGAGAGAACAGTACAGGGAAGGCCAGGAGAGAACAGTACAGGGAAGGCCAGGAGAGAACAGTATAGTGGATCTGTAGCAGTTTTCCTCATACATAGCAGCTCAGGAGAGCTTCTGAATTATATCTGGCACGCTGATCTCCACCCACGCTCCTCTCTCATCCCTCCTGTGTGATGTCACACACAGGCACCTGGGGCAGACAGAAGAGGAGGGCTGGCTGGGATAGACACAGGACAGTGATGCAAGCGGTTTCCTTCTGCGGCTCTGCAGCTTGACTGCCAGCTATGGGGGAATGTGATCTACCAGTCTTCTGCTTGTGATGGACAGGCAGATCGTAGCAGAATCCCTGGGGACCTCTTGCGAAACCCCGGTTGGGAAACACTGGTCTAGGATGTTGGTCTCACCATTTTACTGAGAGGAGGAAAAGAAAAACCAACTTACTGACCGGACTATAGGTAAACATTATGCCGTGATGGTGGGGAACATAATAGGATGTTTGAAAGGTTATAAAGATAGAACTAATTTGTCAAATTTACCCCTTTTACCTGTCAGGTAAGGCCTGGGGGGGCAGAAAAGATATTCTACTGTATCCCAACAATCACCCAACTGTAAAAGGTACAAGATGGAGCCTACAAGCAAACTAAATTGGAGCCTATCCCCTACAGTGCTCCCTAATGGCATAAATGCAAATTTCTCTAGTCTGAGAACTGCATTGAGAAGTACAGTGTTATTTGAATTGTATTCCAGGATTTGCTGGCCTTCAGCTGAGAGAACTTTACATAAAGGCTCAGAAATCTTTCATTGCGTTCATGTTATATAGTAGGAAAACCATGCCACAGATAGATAATCTATTTTTTTCCAATTTTTCCCGTAAAAAAAAAAAGCTTTGGGGAAAAAAAAAAAAAACAAAAACAACAAAAAACACCACACCTTTTTTGCCCCAAGAGCTGCATCAGTGACTCAAAGCCAGAAACAATACCAACAGTTAGTACTGTAATACATGAGTAATGGCAGCACCTAGCTTTCTCTTAATACAGGTTTATCCTAAACTGTTGACAGCTTTATCAGAAGGTGTACAATTTTAAGCACTGTTATACAGACATTTCTGTTTTCTCTCACCAAGAAGCAGGAAAATATCCTATTCTTTTCTAAACTCCATAGCAAAAAGAGTGAATAGCATTGCTGTGCCAGAATGTTAGAGTGCATCTCTAGTCAATACATTTTCTCCTCATTATGGACAACTTGTTAGATTTTATTGCTGTGTAGATCCACCCTCTCCTTTTTCATGGTGACCTTTATTATAGCTTTCCTAAGGTGGGCATACATTGTTAGAATTTGCGCTTCATGTGGGGGTGAAGTCAGCACCTATTCCACCCTTCCTTCTGTTGAAGGAGCAGGTCAGGAAATGTTTGGCCATTCAGATAAAGGCCTTGTCTGGGTATTTAGCTGCTGCTTGAATAAGTGCTGCTGCTGAATACAACAGCCAGCAGAGGGGATTCCTCTATCCACCCACTTTGGCATGGATAGAGGAACTGATAGATTTATCTTGTTTAGCCCAGGGGAGTTGAGCAAGAAATCTGCACATGTATGGCGAGCTTCAAAAGAATAAAAAACAAATTTTAAAAAAAAAAAAAAAACAAAACACAAATGTTGTACATACAGAATAGTATGTACTCTACTACATTGGTGCAATCCTCACCTTCCTCATCCACAGCCAAAACAGTAGCTCCTCTTGTAAGCAAAGCTTGGACAACAGATGCAAGCCCATTTCGAGCAGCAATGTGGAGCGGCCTAACAGGAAATAACAGATACAGTTTAGAGAAACATCCAATATAAGCCTACTGTGAGCTTCCAGAAAATTTAAAGTACACGTTATACAACTGCACAGGTAATGTCACTTACATTTGCAGCATGCTGTTTGTTGCATTGATAAGGCCAAGGTCCTGGGTCTCCCCTAGAAGCAGCAAGGCACACTTCTCATGACCCTGGAAAGAAATATCACCAGATTAGACAGATCATACGTACAAAGTATAGCTGCACTAGAATATATAGTTGGAAAAGTGCAGCATCTCAAACTCCTATCAAGAATTGCTCCATACGCAAGACATGACATGACTACATACACATTGGCGATTTAGGCTGCTGCAAATTGTAGCATCAGGAATCTTCTGATTCCTGCTGTGGCTCTGAGTGGCTAGGTGCAGCTATCGGTTTGTTCACTATAATGACAGTGGCCATGGCTTTTCGCAACTTTCTGCGCATCCAGCAATTACCTGTGGTGATTGCTGCAGGGCACACTAAAGTCATTGCTACCATGTGACATAGCAAGCTAAACTAGATAATGACATTTTAAATTCTAGAAGTTGTTTATTTCTGTATCTAGCCAAAAACATTCACTGTATGTAGAGTAAGAACTTGAAGAGTTGATTGTGGAATACAAATGTTGTAGTAAATACCTTGCTGCAGGCTAGGTGAAGAGCAGTGTTCTTGTTTATATCCATCACAGTTAAATCAGCCTTCATGTGAAACAACAGGAACTCTGCAAAACAGAAGATAAACAACAATACGCTAGCAATCAAAAATAAGAAATATTTTGTGGCATGTCTAATGAAAACACCTTACCCGCTGCTGCAGTTCTTCCATTTTCTGCTGCCATCATTAGAGGTGTCCGACCTGACTGGTCAGCGGCATTAGCTTCAGCCTGGTGTCGTAGCAGCAGCTGTAAACCATTCACGTTGTCAGCAAAAGCTGCAGCATGAAGAGGAGTCCTAGAAATGAAACACTGGTAAATCATCAGCTGCCATTATATGCAAACCCAAAAAGCCAGGAGCAAGACTTTTTTTTTTTTTTTTTTTGAGTCCACTGAGGAACACAGAAGTCTTTCACCTTCAGGTTATTCTACTGCCTACAATAGGACTAATGTAAACTGTACACTATTCTAGAATAATCCCTCCTATGCTTCAGTTTTGCAGCAAAGCATGTATAAAACACAGAAGGTGGGGCACGTGTTTATCGAAGGACTGCATGTTATAGTGAGTACAAAAACAATTTTGACATACCTGTACATTTAATCTTGCAGTACAGTACAGAAGGACAGAGTCTTAGACTATGGGTTTAATATTCCGCTACTATCAAGTGATTGGACACTGTCAAAGACTTTGCTGGACGCCCCCCCGTGTATCCATACAACCCCACCTACTCTGAAGCTACAGTATTAAGTAAGCAATAGGGGGAAATGAGGAGAGGTACCTGTGACCTTTACGGTGTTGCAAAATATGGAATTTACAGGCATGTCAAAATTCCTAAATTCTTGAAACAGTAAAGGACACAGGATGTTTTTTTTTTAGATCATGGGGCGTCTCCAAGCAACTGGAGGGGTAGGCAACAGAATAGCCAAAACAGTACCAACAGACCCATAGAAAAAAAACAAGGAGGAACAGGAAACAAATGCATCAGGGAAGCACTGAGAACACGGGTAATGAAACCTTTTCAAATACTAAACCAGCAAATGAAGTCAAGCAGTACAAAAAGGCCAGGTTTTTGAGAAGGTGAGAAAAGAAAGGCTTGTCACCTTGTGAAATGGAAAAAGCATATCAGAGCTCAGGGCAGAGTGAGGGTTGTAAGCTAGGGAGGTATGTGTTCTGGTAATAAAGAGGAAAAAGAAGCTCTAGGTAGTGGAGATAAATACCCCACATAGTGAGAAGATTCCTGGTGACTGAGTGGAGAAAACCATGTGGAAAGGGCTCACCAGCATGACCTGAGAGAAATTCTCAAGGATGGGAAACCGAGAACAGACGTATTTTCACATGTGATTTACACATAGGAGGGATATGGGGAGCTGAGACAGGGGTCTGCCCACCTCCCCAAAGTGTGCTGGGTTCCATGAGCCCCCTACCCAAAGTGACTCCCACCACAGTCCTGCTCTATTCAGCTTTATGGGTAATGATAATGAATTTATCCATTTAAATGTGGTCTTTTCTCCATCTCACTACTGGAAGTTCACCTCTGGCTAGTGAGGTCTGTCCAACAGCTGGATGAGGGAATGGAAGCTGGAGCAGCCGGCTCATTCCTCCAATTACAGATCCCAGAATGTATGGATCTAATGGATTTTTCACTGGAGGATGTTATTTCATTCCAGAGACTGGGGATTTGAGAGACGACTTCTTCTACCCAGCACCAACAGCAGCTTCAGTCTCCCTGAGAGAAGAGGCGGCCGGCCTGTCTCCTACACCACTGACAGGGACATTGGATTTCCTGCCAGCAGCATCTTAGGAGATAAAAGAAACTTCTCCAGCTGAAGCGCTGACAACTGGACAGAGGGTCCAGGACCTCTGCCCCACACCTTCGGTAGTTTCAGAGGCCCAGGTGGAGAAGGGAGAGGAGGTTGTTGTCCTCCCTCCCACACAGTCAGCCAGAGTGGAGGAAATGGTCTTCCCTCCCAAGCCAGGATATGTGCACCAGGGGGATAGTGACAGAGGAATCTCATTCCAGCAGCAGAACCACAGTCTGGGAGTGGAGGATGCCGGCCTCCCTTCCCTGCGGTTAGCCGGAAGCAGATGTGGGGTCCCCAGCAGAAGTGTTGGCAACAAGACAGAGCCCCTCTGGCCTCTGCCTAGCAACAACAGTGTCTCCACAGCATCAGGGAGCTGGGGCGATTGGCTGCTCTCCCCAGCTCCAGAATGTTCAAAACCATACAGATGGCAGATGGACAGGGAGTCAATGATCTCTGCCTCACCCCCACTGAGGACAAATACCCCTTGCAGTCGAGAATGGAAGTCAAGTTGACCAGCTATGTGATTTCACTCTGCCCTCAACTAACCAAAGATGTATTTCCCACTACGGTCTCCTCTGGTATACCCCAGGGATGCTGGGCAGTCGGCTCAGATCCCCAACAGCATGATGGAGTCGGCCCAGCCACCCTGTCTTCTCTCCAGCGGCTGGGAGGACTTCAGGGAGAAAGACCAGTCCGTACTTCTCCCTAGCGGTGGGTATGTTCGACGAGACAGGCAAAGGTTGGCTGGGTGAGTAATGCTTTGTGTGGGACAATTTGCTTGGGGTACTGTGTGGGTGCTGGCTGTCAGGGATCCTACCGTGGTAGCCTTTAGAGCTCCACAGACCGGATTCCCCCAAGGCGCGGAATCTAAGCCCCTACCTGCTTGTTCACCAGGGCCCGATGGTGGGGATGGACTTGGAGCAGGCCCAGACCAGGTCGCGGCCCCTGGGTTCACCCAGCTGTGGTAGAAGCACCCTTGGAGATGTATAGCAGGTGAGAGTCTGATGTGAGGTCACAAGAGCAGCGTCGGGCAGGCCAGGTCGGTAACAGTGGTGGCGACGTGGTACAAAAATCGGCAGGCAGAGGAATAAACCGGTCACAAGCCGGGTTCATTAACAGGAGATCAGAACGTGCAGGGTTAAGCAGGAGAATGGTCAGACAAGACAGGGATCAGAACAGGAGACAAACACCAAATCAGGGTCAGGCAGGGTCGGCAACTAGACAATCTACTAATCAGGAACTTCAGGAAACAGGCAAGACCATACGGCAATTCAATGCAGACCTAACCTGTTTTAAATAGGGCGCCCTGATTGGTGCCAGGCTCGCGCCCTCGATCGCGAGTGTGCTACTACAATCACGGGTGCCCTGGTCCCAATGCTCGCACCCTAGTGCGGCCGGGCACACTGCGCATGCGCAGACCCGAGCGCGATCGCTGCAACCACTGGGGTCCCTGACACTGGCATTGGGGGACTGGAAGTACAGACTAACGTCGGAGTAAACTCGTTTGGAGTCTCCTCCTGTGTTAGTCCCCTGCCGAAAGGGGAGATATGTGACGGGAGTCACTTTGGGTGGGGGGCCCATGGAAAACAGCTCACTTTGGAGAGGTGGGGAGACACCCTGTTCCTGTTAGGGCTACAAGGTGATCTGTCCTAATATTGGGGTTGTTGATTGTTTGATGTAGGTTGCCCCACCCTGTGTCATTATGCAGGGAGGGGGGATTGTCCCCTTGAGTGTATATATCTTGTATCTGTGTTCAAAACAAGTAATCTGCCTCCTGGTTTACTTCCAAGACTGGTGTCACCTACTCTTGTATAGTCTGCTGTGGTGCCTGTTGTCGGTGTTTGGACGGGGAAGCGGTAGTCTAACGGAAGTACCCAAGTGCAGTCTGGGGTCAGTTCTGTTACAAGGACAATAAAAGCAAGGGAAACCATAGGGCATAATGTAGTATTGTACTACAGTAATGTACTACAGATCCAAGTAATGATCCAACCAAGGATACCCAGTCTTACTCATGCTGCTTGCCCTGTTCAGGATCAAGGCTTCACCTATCAAAATGGGCATACCCCTGAAGGGTTCTTCAGGGTCTGGGTGCCATAGGAATGGACCACAAAGCAACCATTACAGTACCCAGATCCCTGCTTCCACAAGGTCTGGGTACGATCTCCAAGGTACACAAAGGGTAACTGATCTGGAAACGTCTAGTGAGCTATAAAGCATTAAATGGTTAGATCTTGCTAGAAGTGTCAGTCAAACAAGGAAAGGAAACTGTTGAAAAATAGAGAAAAGAAAAAAAAAAAATTTTTTTTTTCAGTAGCAGAAGGGGTCCATTACCTATGGACACTAGCAAGAAAATGTAACCTCAGATTGTGCGTTATTATAGATACGCTGGGGAAGGGGAGAGTCCCAGCATAGCTTTTGCCAGTGTCCAATCACCTGAAGGCTGTAGCATATAAACCATGGTTTAAGAATCAATTATGGTCTCCTTTACCATATGATTAGGATATCCTAATTTTCTCTCTCGACCATTGAGGAGCACAAAGTTTTCAACTTCAAAACAAAGAACTGGAGACTGCCTGCAGTCCAAACAGCCTCCTGAAGGAGAATTCCTGGACCTCAAAGCCACCTTGCCCTTATTCAAAGCTGGAAGGGGTTCCTTGCAGGATAAAGCCACCAGTTTAGATACTTGCGAACAGGTTCAAAAAGGCGATTTCTAAAGCGCATGGAGAACCAGGTTTAGATCAGACAAAATCACAGGGCAACCAAAACAGGGGGCGCTACATGGGAGAATCTGAAACCGGATAGAAAGGGCAGAAACAGTCCTTTATCGTGCGGAGAGGCAGAAACCTAGTCCTTTATAGTGCTGAGAACAAATGCTGGTCTACACCTAGCTGCAGAAAGGAGAGGCTGTTCACTCAACAGGAAGTAATCCAAGAATCCCAGAGGACGCTCCTTGGACACTTCCTGTCCATCCAAACTTATTGTCTTGGGCCCAATAATGTATCCTGCTTTATGATCGCTGTGATTGAAGCCTTGGCTATTTAAGCCCAGATCAGGAAAATTGGGTCCGGTTTTCTCTGCACTTATCACCAGGAGGCCGGCTTCAGGGGGCTTGCATTAAAGCACACAGAACTCGTTTCTCTAGTGTGAAGCCAGGAAGTGGCACCCACGGAAATGTGCGATTGAAAGGTTTTTCCCTTTTTTTTTTCCAATCGGGAGGGAAAATTAAATTGACATCAAGTACTATTAAGGGTCAGATTTCGGCTCTATCCATTATTCCCCCCAGAGACCATTGTTTCTCACTCCTCGATTCGTACTGTCTGCAAGGTGTAACGCGGACAGTCCCGTCTGTCAGGACACCCGTGTCCTTTGGACTTGAACTTTATCTTGGCTGTCCTTGCAGAATCCACCTTTTGAACCAATTAAGGAAACCTAATCCTTTGACTCGGGAAGGTGACTTCTTTGATTACTATCGCTAAAGCATGAGGAGTGTCAGAGCTGGATGCTCTTCATGTAAGGGAGCCATTCTTGGTCTTGCATCATAAGGTGATGTTGAGTCCCTATCTATCTTCTTGCCTAGAGTGGTTTCTAGTTTTCACTTGAATCAGGACAGTGTCTTGCCTTTCTTTTTTCCTAGTCCAGTGTCAGCAGAGGAAAGATTGCTGCATACTCTGATTGTAGTTTGGGTGGTCAGGAGTTACTTGAGTTTGGGAGCACCGGTGAGAAATCCTGGTTTGTGCAGCCAGAAGGTTAAAGAAAGGGCAGGCGGCATGCAGGTCAACCATTTCTCATTGGATCAGCCAGGTAATTATTCAAGCTTATGGTCTGAAAGATAAGGGTCCACCTTTTCGGGTGAGAGCACTCTACCAGGAGTGTGTTAGCATCTTGGGCTATCCACCATCAGGCAGCGTTGGCTCAGGTTTGCAAGCCCACTACATGGTCTTTGGTTCATACATTCACAAGATCCCAAAAGGTGGATGTCAGAGCAGCAGAAGATTCTTCTTTTGGCTGCATCTTGTTACAAATGGCTGAGTAGGACCTTTGGGATTGCTGGTGGTGGTTATTATGGCCTCATCCACCACTTACATTTGTATTGCTTTAAGATATCTCACATAGTCTTGTATAGCCTGTTCTGAGCCCCGTAATATATGATAAAAAAAAATTAAAATTTTTCTATATACACACCTGTAAAATCCATTTCTTGGGAGTATAATCACAGAACACAAAAAGATCCCTCCCCTCTTGCTGCAATTTCATTGCTTGCTACAAAAACTGAAGTACTTCCTGTGTGGGATGTGTTATATAGGGGAGGACTTCCTGTCTGATTGATCTGCCAGTGTCCATTCACCTATAGGTGGCATATAACCCACATAGTCATGAATAGCCTGCTCTGTTGCCCATGGTGAACGATAAAGAGTATGACAGTTTGGAAAGAATTTTACATTTGGATTTTGAAGTAACCCTTGGGATAGTGCATGTGCTCTCTGCATCTGTGCTCCAAGAAATTTATTTTACAGGTAAGCATGTAGAAAAAAAAAATTCAATTTTCTTCCCACTATAATGACAAAAAGTATAGGATTGAAAGGACTGTTATATGTGAGCTACTTCAGGATGTCTATTCAATATGCACCATGATTGTTAAAGCTGTATGCATTGCATACTAGCACATTATAAAAGACTTACTTTAAAACAAAGCCCTCCAGCAGCGAGCTGTCACCGCTAACAGGGCTTCCATCTTCACGGGCTCCAGCTGTCTGACTGGCCTAGCCGCGATGATGTTACTCCCACGCATTGGAGCAGGATCCCTGAGCACAGCACAGATATGCCGGTGACATCACTGGCTGCTGCTCACTGAAATATCTCATTATCTCCATCTCTGTGCTCTGGTATTGTAGCGAAGAGCGGTAGGCTACTGAAATCTTTAGATAATGTTCCAACGAAAAGCAAGGATTTTTTGAGGCCATATTTGAATGTGAAGAGAGTTACAGAGTAGTTGCTACTTTGGCAGTTTGGGAATTACTGGCTTTTCTTTTAGCTGGAGTGAAACAGCAGAAAACGTTTTGCCACAAACTGGAGCAAGGTGCTCTTGGCAATAGTAGCATTCTTGATATTATCAAGAGTCAGCCTGAAGAGATGATGTCCCTGAAAGGGCATGCAAATCAAACGCTTCTTGCACAAAAGGTTCCACAAGTCCAACACTTCAACCAAAGTGCCCTACACATCTGTACAGACAGATACATGTGAGAAATAAGACTGAATGCTCCTAGAAGACCTTGACAACTATTTAAAGCAACATCAATCTTCTCCACACGTTCAATAAGTAAGTGATCAACCAAAGTAATAGATATCTTTTGAGGGATTTTGGCCAATCAGACTTCATTTGAAAAAGTAAAGTCACATCTAAGATCAGGTGAAGAGCAGGACTCAACACAGAGAACAGAGCACTAGAAAGAAATTTGAACCGCTCATCAGTTTGGACCTTAAATGACAGACATGTATATGGTAGCCATGGCATCCAGCACAGAACGGTTTGAAGACACATTGAGCTGCACATGCAAGGCTCAGTGAACACTTAAGAAAAAAAAATTGCTTGCAATCAAGGAGAAACAGACATGACATACACAGCCTCAATGTCATAAAAAGCTACCCAACAGCACATTTTACAAAAGCATTTCAACGTTTCAATTTAACCCTTTCTGCAGTAGAAACTGTTTCTTTAAGTCATGATGAAGGGGGCAGAGCTTAGCCTCGAAAACACAGTCTACTGTAATCAATTTAAGTTTGCAATAAACCTATTTTATTGAACTCCTAGATCCATCCAATTTCTATCACAAACCAAGGCTATTGTGGAAATTGTTTGCTCATATGAAAGTAAAGCAACATAACAGCCTTGCTTGTCACCCTCTCCCAAGCAGCACAACTTCTTTGCCAACCTCTCTGCCTGTCTATTCAGCTGCAAGGATCAAGTGACTCACTCTATATAACAGCGCTTGGACCAAACACCAGTGTTATCATATGGGAATAGTCCTTCATAAGGTAAAATGACTTAACCACATGTTTAATACAAACCTCCCTTTGGCATCTCTGCTATTAACAATCTTGGCACCCATAGCTTCTATAAGTATCTCAGCCGTACCGTCTTGGCTGTTTATTCTGACGGAAAAATACAAAATTAGAAGTATTAACCAATCTTTCAAGTATATTCCAAAAAACTTGGAAAGTAGAACTCCAATTGTAAAGTACTTACACTGCACAGTGCAAAGGGGTGAAAGGGTTTCCTTCGAGGTAAGCAAATGGGTTGTGTTCAAGTAACAATTCCAAACAATCTTCGTGCCCTGTTGAACACAAGACTGAGATTAGTTTCTTAACCCTCAAGAAAAAGAATACTCACAGTAAAGCAGAGTTAATTCACACAGCACTGAACAAACACAAGTCTAGTCAAATGCTGGATAATGTTTATACATCCAAGCAAAAGTAACATGGCAGATAATCATCAAATAAATGGTGAAACAAATTGTTTAAAGTCCAATTTTAACCGCTTTCCCGCTACCCTATAGTAGAACTCCTACAGGGAGACAGGGCTGCACATAATCACGTACGTTTACACACACACACACACACACACACACACACACACACACGATTTTCATTTCCATGTAAGCAGTACATTTTTTTTAAATTCTTTTTCTTGCATATGTTTTATAGCAAAAAGTCCAAAAAATTGTTTTTTTTTTCAAAAATTGTCAGTCTTTTTGTTTATAGTGCAAAAAATAAAAAAAACCGCAGAGGCGACCAAATACCACCGAAAGAAAGCTCTATTTGTGAGAAAAAAGGGATATAAATTTCATTTATGTACGGCGTTGCATGACTGTGCATTTGTCTGTTAAAGTAACGCAGCACTGTTTTGCTAAAAATTACCTGGTCAGGACGGGGGGGGGGGGGGGGTGGAAATCGTCTGGAGGGCAAGTGGTTAACGTTCTACATATCTATTCTTCTTTATAAAGAATTGGATATCATGAAGACATGTAAGTATATTTTATTTCTTGGCCACATAAAAATTGCATATAAACAAATGAGTTATAGTAATTTCTCCTTCTAGAATGCCATGTTTGGGGGGGCTGCAATTCATCAGGCAGTACACGTGTATAGGGCTGCAACTAACGATCATTTCCATAATCAATTAGTTGGATGATTTTTGTTTTGATTAATCAAAAACCACAAAAAAAAAAAAAGTTTGGTGTATAATTTGGTTAATATGTAAATTAAAAAACAAAACAATTTATTCTCGAATATCTATATGCAATGTTAAATATAAATAACCAGTTATGTGGTTAGGGAACAAAATATCTAGTCCACTCTCAGAATAACACGGGTTATACAAAAATAGGAAAAAAAACCAAAACAAAAAACAAAAAAAAAAAAAAAAAAAAACAGCTGCAAAAGTGACTGCAGAGCTCAGACTCAAGCTTCCTGGGACTAAGATTGAGCTCTGCAGTCACTTTTGCAGCAGTTTTTTTCTTATTCCAGGTCACAGTCCTGCGCAATGTCCTTTTGTTGCTTTGGGTCAGTTGACCATGTTGACCGCACTTATGCCTATCAGATGACATTTTCCCGGGAACTCTACATGTCCTCATAACCTTTGATACTGTACCTCGCAACACAGCAAATAAATTGGCAACTTCAGTCATAGAGACACCAGCTAAGCGGCACCAACTTTTCGCCCTCTGAAGCTCAGTGAGCTCTGACATGACTCTGTATTACTAGCAGTGCACGCAGTGAATGACGAAAGTGAGTCTTCCCACCTGGTAGCTAGGCGTCTCATCACACAGCAGAAGCAAAAGATTGTTATCACTTTCACCGCAAAACACCTGTATATACTATTAAAGGTTGAATCTGGTACATAGATCAGAATTGGAGATCAAAATTTTTTATGGAAAGAAAAAAAAAAAAAATGGCTTTTTTTCAGACAGGATTGTAATATAATATTATGCATAACAGATTATTTTTTCATAGGCAGTTCGCTTGACACAAGCTACCTGTGCACAGGTACAGGTAGCTTGTGTCAAGCGAACTGCGTACGACAAAAGAATCTGTTATGCATAATATTATATTACAATACTGTCTGAAAATCTGAAAAGGCCTTTTTAAATTTTTTTATATTTCTTTCCATAAAAATTTTGATCTACAATTTATACTGGCAACACACAAATAAAATGTTTACTTCAAAAATTTTCATTTTAACAACGTTTGTTCAGTTTCAAATCAACATCCATTTTTTACCACAGTGATGAGAAAATTTGTAGGAACAGAATAGAAAACTTCTCGATCAAACTAATTTTCAGACAGCATATGTTGATTTTCGTTCAGGCATTACATTCAAATTTTCAAATGAATGTTAAAAGCAAGTAACATTTTCCAATGACATTCATCAAATATACAAAGAATTTGTGTATGAACATTTCTCGTCCGAAAATGGATAGGTGTATGGCTAGCATAAAAGACATTTAGTAGCAGGAGCATGTTTTTTTAAATCAACTGTCATGATGGGGTAAAAAAAACAAACAAAAAATGGCCCTTTATAGTACAAAAACTGCAGATAATCACAACTATAAGGTGTTCATTTAAAATTTATACATTACCCAAAAAAAAAAAAAAAAAAAAAAAAAAAAAACAAAGGAACATTTTGAAAAACACATCAGATATCAAGGGGGGAAAATATCATGCTGGATATCTATACTGATATGGACTGGGTAATGTGTTAGGAATGTAAGAATGCCCCATCATTTGATGGAAATGAAAATGATCAACCTACAGAGGACTGAATTCAAAGACACCATGAAAATCAAAGTGAAAAAATGATGCAGCAGGCTAGTCCATTTTGCTGAAATTTCATTGCAGCAACTCAAAATGGTACTCAGTTTGTATGGCCCCCAGGTGCTAGTATGCATGCCTGACAATGTCAGGGCATACTCATGAGATGACGGATGGTATCCTGAGGCATTTCCTCACAGATCTGGACCAGGACATCATTGAGCTCCTGGACAGTCTGAGGTGCAATCTGGCAGAGTCAGGACCAAAACATGAAATTCCAGAGGTGTTCTATTGGATTTTAGGTCAGGCGAACATGGGGGCCATTCAATTGTATCAATTCCTTCATCCTCCAGGAACTGCCTGCATACTCTCACCACATAAGGCCGGGCACTGTTGTGTACCAGGAGGAACCCAAGACCCACTGCACCAGCGTAGGGTCTGAGAATGGGTCCAAGGATTTCATCCCGATACCTAATGGCAGTCAGGGTGCCATTGTCTAGCTTGTAGAGGTCTGTGCGTCCCTCCATGGATATGCCTCCCCAGACCATCACTGACCCACCACAAAAATTGTCATGCTGAACGATGTTACAGGCAGCATAACGTTCTCCACAGCTTCTCCAGACCCTTTCACATCTGTCACATGTGCTCAGGGTGAACCTGCTCTCATCTGTGAAAAGCACAGGGCACCAGTGGCGGACCTGCCAATTATGGTGTTCAATAGCAAATGCCAATTGAGCTCTATGGTGTCAGGCAGTGAGCACAGGGCCCACTAGAAGACATCAGGTCCTCAGGCTATCCTCATGAAGTCTGTTTCTGATTGTTTGGTCAGAGACATTCACACCAGTGGCCTCCAGGTCATTTTGTAGGGCTCTAGCAGTGTTCATCCTCTTCCTCTTTGCACAAAGGAGCAGATACCGGTCCTGCTGATGGGTAATGGACCTTCTATGGCCCTTTCCAGCTCACCTAGAGTAACTGCCTGTCTCCTGGAATCTCCTCCATGCTCTTGAGACACAGCAAACCTTCTAGCAATGACACATATTGATGTGCTAGCCTGGAGGAGTTGGACTACCTGTGCAACCTCTGGAGGGTCCAGGTATCACCTCATACTGAGTAGGAAAAAAATGTCAGTGGCCAGATCAATATCCCAGGAGTTTAATTGACTTGATGCTATACTCGGATTAAAAAGCGTTCCTTTAATTTTTTTGAGCAGTTTATTTAAGTAGTACTAAAAAGCTGAGACTTTTTTGCAAGGATATAATCATTTTAAATATAATGGATAATACTGCTAAACTTTTAGTTTACATTTAATTGTAATGCCTTATATTACCGCTAGTCTACCAGCCTGCTGCTTCTCTGAATTCAGATGCTGATCATCTCTGCATTGTTGGAATATTTTTTTTACTTACAAACTTGTCATTCACCTGCTCTGTGCAATGGTTTTGCACAGAGCGGCTATGATTCTCCGCTTCTGGGGTCCCCCACTGGCGGTTCTGGCTCCCCCTGCCTTCAGAGTGCCCCTATAGCAAACCACAAGCTCTTGTATAAAGTACCCCTATAGCAAGGTAAAAACCTTCACCTGCCCAGAACCATTACATGGCGTTGCACTTCAAACATTCACATTCATAAGTTCTCAGGCACTTACGAACATGTATGGATGCTGTGCTGAGCAGTATGTGTGCTGCACTGTATTTTGTGATATGTAAACAAATAATGCATTCTGTATGCAGGCTAACTAATCGATTATGAAAATAGTTGTCAACTAGTAGCATAATCGATTATGCCGATTAGTTGTTTCTGCCCTACACGTGTATGTGATGTTGGTTCTGCTCCCCCTACTTTCTGCTGTGGCGTTAAAAGAGCAGGGCCAAGTCTGTTCTCTGTTGCATGTAATGCTTCATTCCACTTCCTTCAACATCCAATGAAACATGCTATTCCTAGTAGAACTACTGCTGAAATGTGGTCTGGCACACTGATTTGTGTGCAGTGTGACATGCTGAGTCTACAGCCAAAGCTGCCAACAAGATTTCACAGTGTTAGCAGTGAGGACTTGTCAGATTTCTGTAAATAATGCATTAAGAGTATGTGTGCTTTTCTTCATTATGCCTTCTGGAGAATGCAGACAAAAAGCTATGTGGAAAACTGAAACATGTGTATTATTGTTTTGGCTAGTCAGTGGAAAGACTAATTAAGCACTTCAGGCCATTTTTTGCGATTTGTCACTGTGCTATTTCAACTGGTAATTGTATGGTTGTAACGCTCTACCCAAACACAATTTATGTGCTGTTTTCATACAAATATAGCTTTCTTTTGGTGGTATTTGATCACCGAGTTTTTTTATTTTTCTGTGATATAAATGAAAATTTGGATGAAAACAAAAATGCTATTCTCTACTTTGTTACACAAAATATCCAATAAACTCAAATTTAGGCCAAAATGTATTCTGCTATGTGTCTTTGGTAAAAAAAAAAAAATCCCAATACATGTATATTAATTGGTTTGTGTGAAAGTTACAGCATTTACAAAACTATAATATATACACTCACCGGTCATTTTATTAGGTACATCTGTTCAATTGCTTGGTAACACAAACTGCTAATCAGCCAATCACATGGCAACAACTCAATGCACTTAGGCATGTAGATGTGGTGAAGAAGAGTTACTGAAATTCAAACCAAGCATCAGAATAGGGAAGAAAGGGGATTTAAGAGACAGAACTTGGCATGGTTGTTGGTGCCAGACGGGCTGGTCTGAGTATTTAAAAAACTGATCTACTGGGACTTTCATGCACAACCATCTCTATTGTTTACAGAGAATAGTCTGAAAAAGAAAAAAAAAATATTCAGTGAGTGGCAGTTGCATGGACAAAAATGCCTTGTTAATGTGAAAAGGTCAGAGGAGAATGGGCAGACTGGTTCGAGACGACAGAAAGGCAACAGTAACTCATGTCAATGTGGACCAAAATCTGAGGAATGTCTCCAAACACCTTGTTGAATCTATGCCATGAAGAATTAAGGAATTTCTGAAGGCAAAAGGGGGTTCAACCCGGTACTAGCAAGGCGTACCTAATAAAGGGCGGGTGAGTGTACTGGAATTTACGCTTTGACTTGCTGACTGCCCATCACATTTCTTGAGGCGCTAAAATGACAGCAATACAAACCCCCCACAAAATACCCCTTTTTGTAGACACCCCAAGGAATTTGCTGAGAGGCATGTTGAGTTGATGGAACATTTTATTATTTGCCACAAATTTTTGGAAAATGACCAATTTTTTTATTTTTTTTTAAACACACAAAGTTGTCATTTAAATGATTTATTGCTCATGCATGCCATGGGTATATGTGGAATAACACCCCAAAACATATTCTGCTTCTTCTCCAGAGTATGGGGATACCACGTGAGAGACTTTTTGGCAGCCTAGCCACATACAGGCCCCCAAAATCCAATTACTTTTTTGGAAAGTAGACACCAAGGAATTTGATAAAAGGCATGGTATTTTGCAGCATTATTTATTTTTTTTGTTTTTCTTTCAAAACCCTGTGACAAAAATAAGAGAAAAAAAAACAAAAAAAACAACACATTTTTGTCTTTTCTCAGTTTTTAAAAAACTTGTGGCAATAAATGAGATCTGCAAAATACTCACTATGCCCCTTAGAAAAAATCTTGGAGTGTCTACTTTCCAGAAAAGGGGTCATATGGGGTGAAAGTCTGTACTATCCTGGCATTTCAAGGCCAACACTAGAAGCTTATACCAGATATCACCCACTCTTCACTTGAAGACCAAGTCCTTTCTGAGACTTTATGTTTACATGTAAAAAAAATTTTTTTGCTAGAAAATTACTTTGAACCCACAAACATGATATATTTTATTAAAGCAGAGGCTCTAGAGAATAAAATGGTGGGTGTTCAAATTTTTGTTATGTCACACAGAATTTGTGCAGCTATTTTTTAACCGTAAATTTTTTAGGCATCATCCTGGTATAACCAAGTAACCACTCCAAGTATAACCTGGTATAACCACTCCAATTCCAGTCCTTGTTGTGCATATATGTAACAGCAGAGAACATGGGCTTATGATGAATCAGGTTTGAGGACCAAAATAACCGCAATTCATGCTTTTTTATAATGCCCATGTTGAGGGTTAGGCCCAAAAAATTTATTAAAATCTGGAAACTGATAGGTTTCCGTGTGAATTGTCTGGCAAGAGCTGAATTTGGATGGGCGGCGATGTATTACTGTGCATATAAAATTGCTTTGGCCCGCAATCAATTGATACAAAGAGGAGGGGCTAAACAATAATGCTGGGAGCGAACAGGGCTGATCCTGCTAACACTGCGTGTTTGAGGACACTATACTAAAAAGGAGGCACTAGTATAGTTCTGTTCATGATCAATATGTTGATCCGTACAAACACTATACTAGCAATGGAGGTGATCAGCGACCTATAGCGTGTGGGCAAACAAACGCTAGCTGGCTGACTCTGGTTGGGAGGGGCACTAACTGACCCTAACATTATCTGATGTCACTAATGGCAGTGATCAGTGAAAAAAGCTATATACTGACACTATACTAATGCCGCTGGCTGGGTGATGGGGTGATCCAAGTGTTAACTGTGCTAATCTAACACGTGTGTAAAATGTATTGCTTTTACTCAGTGTGGTGTTTGCATTTCTCTCCCTGGACTGGGTTGAACTTCACTGCATCGGAGCACCACAAACCAAAATCTTTGGTCTATTTTGCTGAGGAATTGTTGGGGGGGGGGGGGGGGGGGAAGAGAAAATCCCTCCTCACCTCCTGAAAACTCCTTAGGATGTCATACATTCTGGGATGAATATCATTTGCCTAAGCATGGAAAACAGGAAGTAACTGAAGAAATGTAAAAAAAGTTTAAAACAAGTAAATGTAATATACTTTTCCGTTTACCATTGCTGGCAGCATAATTATTAAAAATAGACAGTGTTGACTGATGGGATGAAGATCCAGAATCTCTCAAGTTCTCTGCTGTGAGAGTAAAGCTGGCCATAGATGGATCAAAATTTGGCCAGTTCAGAATGGCCAGTTCTGTTCACGAAAAGTTGATATAACAATCAACTTCTGATAAACGAGCTTGTTGAAAAATTTTGATCTGATCAGCACATGCAGACAATCATCTACAGCACTAAACCGCGTATTCTGACAGCAGGGGATTCCTGTAGGATTCTCACATCCATCTCAAATGTGTGGAAGGGGGAATCTGTTCATTTTTCTTCATTCAGCCCATTTGGTGCATGAAAAAATTGAGCCAGTTATGTGGCATTTGTCCAACAGTACCATTATGGGGAAACCCAGAAAGCAGACAGACCAGTGTGAGAAAACCAGATGAGTTGCCAGTTCCAGGATGTCGATGAGCAACTTCTGCCCCTCCGACAACCAAAGCACCTCCCCAGCCCGACAAGCTGGCATCTGTTGCCCTGCCCTTCCAATTCATCAGATGGAAGGAAGGGTTTTCCTGTATCCAGGGCAGGGCCAAGTGTCTACAGATGCACACAGGCCAGCTTGGGAGCAAGCCGGCAAGTGCACCTCCATAGGATGTAGCTTCCTATGGTGGTGCATTGAAAGGAAGAGCAGCACGGAGTGCTGGCGGAGGACCCCAGAAGAGGAGGTTCAGGGCCACTCTGTGCAATACTATAATTATTTTAAAAAACTGAGCCATTACAAAGTAAGAAATAGCTGTGAAATGGCTGAGTCAACAACAAAAGAGCCCCATTTGTTACATAATTCGTTCTTATAGGATGCTGGTGAGAAAAACGCTAAAACATTTTCTCTGGATGAGACATCTAAACTTAGAAAATCTTGTGAGGAAGCGTGGAAAAGACTAGTGAATTTCTGGCAGCCACCAGAACCCAAAATTTTTTCTCTACTTTCGTGCATTCCATGCATGAAGGTTAAAAACATTCAGTGTGCAGCTCCCCCCTCTCCCTTCTTATTGGATCACTGTCAAATCACAGCCAGTGAACAGGGAATGGAGGGCAGGGCCAAGCTGTGCTCTGTGTGTCTTAGACACACAGAGGCAGCTCAGGAGTGAGCATGCAGGAATGCCCCTAGAGCAAGCAGCTTGCTCTGGGGTCACTCAGCAGGGGGGAGGGTTCAGGAGCACCAGCAGGGTACCCGTAAAGAGGATTGGGGCTGCTCTGTGCAAAACTATTCTACAAAGCAGGCAAGTATGAAATGTTTTGTACCACCTCTTCCTCAGCCTGAGGAATTTTCTCCAATGCCTCATCCTCTCTCAAAATAGGAGAAGGGGAAGGAGAGCATCCATGTTCGCGCCCCAGGTGTCTGAAGCCAGTGAACTCCTGAGAGGCTATTACTCAGTCCAGATATGGATGCAGAAAATGCCCATTAAATAGTGGAAATGCCAGCTAAGAGCAACTTCAGAACTAATCTGACCCTTAAGGAAGCCATTTCAGGATGAAGTCTGCAGGGGCTTCTTTCCTCACTCTAATGTCCACCTTATTCATACGAAGTCTCAGGTACCAAAAAGGTAAAAAAAAAAGTCATCCAAATAGGGGTGGATAGGAATGAAAACACAGATTTCTTGCTTTCCTACTAGATCTAAAATTAGAACGCTTCTGCTGGAGTTACACCTGATGAGCATGCCACCTTCTACAAACAAAACCAGAAAAACTGTCAATGCTATCATTGCGATTACCATTTTGTGCAAGTATGAATAAGAGAACAAGGTATACTATACCATTGTAAGCAGCCCAGTGCATGGGAGTGTATCCGTTGTAATCCACCACTGCATCCAGTGGGTCTGTAGAGAGTGCAGCCTGCAAGTACACATGCACCAGTGTTGCATGGCCACAAGCTGCAGCAAAGTGAATAGGAGTGCGTCCCTTGTAGTCCCGACACAGCACAAAGGCATCATGGTCCAGCAGAGCACCCACACAGTCTTCACAACCGGTTACAGACTACAAAAAGGGCACAAGACACAATGTTAATACCCAAAATCAAATGCTGCATTAAAAATCAAGACATTTTCTCTTTGCTTGTATAAATGCTGCTGCTGCTTACAGCTCTGTGAAGTGTGGTTCTTCCTCTCTTATCTCCAGCATCTACAGTGGCTCCTTTCTCCAGCAGCAGGTGAACACAGTCAACATGTCCATTCATCACAGCAAGCATTAAGGGAGTTCTTTTAAGCACAAGAATAGAAGAATTAGAAATACACTTAGGATCTCTTAAAACTGGAGGAAAATAGGAGCAAACATGTGGTTGCAGTCCACAGTGAACAGATTTTAATATATCATTCTTCCAGAGAATAAAAGATGAAAGTGCACATAACCAAGAACTAAGTTTTTCCCATTTGGTCTTTTAAAATACACAATTAAATACACTTTGATATATCTGGGCTAAAATACTTGTTGATCTCATCTGAACCTAGTGAGCGTACCTACCTTCCTATACTCTATTAGTTACAGTGTTCACAGTTAAACTTCACTACAGAACAACTCCAGGCTATGTTATGAAGGAATAGGTGGTATTCTGTAGTCCTGTCCTAGGGTGACAACCCTGCTCCTTAAGAGAGTACAGTGAATGAGTATTGTCACCCTAGGAGAGAAAGTGTCCTTCAGAGGGAAAAAAAAAAAAAAAAAGAATTGTAAAACACAAATGCAGCCACTACATCAATGGTTTTGTAAGCTGCAATACATTGCATTATTGTTCTTGAACTTCGATACACTAACACTGATAAAATATTGATAAATTACTGTGGATGGCAATTACCTTCTGCACCTATTTTCTGCAGTCATAATTAGGCCCCATACTAGTCAAAAGCGTGCAATAAAAAAAAAAATAAAAAAAACAGAACTCCTTTCCCATCTTCTCAAAACACTAATTTCCCCACCATCAGGTAGGATACAGAACACCAGCTCTAAAGTTGTGCTCAAAAGTTTGTCTACCCTTGGAGAATTGGTAATAGTACCATTTTTAAAAAAAAGTGAGCAAGCAAAAACACCTTTCTTTTGTTTCCTATGGGATTCATATTCAAATGTAGGTCATAACATAATGGCAAAATTATAACACAAAACATGGCAATAAACAAATGAAATGACTCTTGTTCAAAAGTCTGCATACCCTTAGTTCTTACTACTGTGGATTGCCCCCTTTAGCATCAATGACAGCATGCAGTCTTTGATGGTTGTCTATGAGGCACCAAATTATTGCAGGTGGTATAGCTGCCCATTCATCATAGCAAAATGCCTCCAGGTCATGCAAAGTTTTGGTCATCTTTCATGAACCACACGTTTGAGATCTCCCCAGAGTGGCTTGATGATATTAAGGTCAGGAGACTGATGGCCACTCCAAAACCTTCACCTTTTTTCTGCTGTAACCACTGGAGGGTCACCTTGGCCTTGTGCTTAGGGTCATTGTTGTGCTGGGAAGTCCAAGAGTGTCCCATGCGCAGCTTTCCTGCAGAAGCATGCAAATAGTCTGTCAGTATTTTCTGATAACATGCTGCATTTATCTTTCCATCAGTTTTTAAGAACCCCGGTGCCTTTAGAGCTCACACACACAAACAAAACATGACAGCGAGTCACCATCATGTTTCACAGTGGGGATAGTATTATTGTTACTGTTGACCCCTCTCCAAACATAACACTTATGGTTGTGTCCATAAACTTCTATTTTGGTGTTGTGACTCCAGATTACAGTGTGCCAGAAGCTGTGAGGAGAGTCAAGGTGTTGTCGGGCATATTGTAACTGGGCTTTTTTGTGGCACTGGCACAGTAAAAGATTTTTCTGGCAACTTGCCCACACAGCTAATTTTGGTTCAAGTATCTTCGTAATGTGCTCCTTGAGACAACCACACAGTCTTTTCCAGAGCAGCCTGTATTTCTCCTGAGGTTACCTGTGGCTTTGTATCCTGAACAAACTCTAGCAGTTGTGGCTGCAATCTTTGGTACACCTTGACTTGGTATCAAGAGATCCCTAAATTCTCCCCTTCTTAATAAGCAACTTAAAAAGATATCCAAAGCCTTGAACATGCCGGTCAGTACTTTTGTCCTTTTACATCATTATTAATAGTTCCATTATCTTATTACGCAGGTCTTTTGACAGTTGTTTTCTGCTCCTCATGGCTCAGTATCTAGCCTACTCAGTGCATGCACGTAGGAGCTAACAAACTCAACTATTTATACACAGACCCACTGCAATTTAAAAAGCCACAGGTATGAGAAATTAACCTTTAATTGCCAATTTAACCTGTGCGTGTCTGTACCAATGCCAAACATTTCGGGGTATATAGACTTTTGATCAGGGCCATCTGGGTGATTTCTGTTATTATGGTTTAAAAAGGAGCCAAAAAACTATGTAATAAATGGCTTAATATGATCAGTCATTTTCAATAGTAATGCCAAAATGAATGGTCAATATACGGATAACACACAACTTCATAGAAGGTGAAGTGTATTCTTACTTTTACTTCCAAAAAAGATCAGGCAGTCTACTAGAAAAGTAGAAAACTTACTGGCCATGTGCATCTGTCACATCAGCAATGTCCAGTCTCTCACTGCTATCAATTAGCAGGTGCAGAACATCAGTGTTTCCAGAGGCAGCTAATTGTTCGGGGAAGAAAACATCAATTTACCATTACATCTGAACATGTTCTGACTCCCAGCCTAAGAAAATAATCATAACTTCAAAGTTTACTTTACAATTTAAACCACAGTTTGAAGTCCTAACCTGCTACATGCAACGGTGTCCATTTTTTCTTACGATCCTTGATGAGTGGAGAGGCCCCATGGCTCATCAGAACCTCCACACACTCTGTGAATCCCCTTTCTGTGGCGAGGTAAAGAGCAGTGCGGCCTTTGTGGTCACGTACGTCCAGGTTCACCAGCGTTTCTGCTAGAGTTTTCAGGGCATCATAGTGACCATAGTAGGCCTGTAAATATGAAGTAAATGACGTTAAAAAAGACCTCAAGTATAACAACTGCACGAGTCAAAGTGAAAAGGTTAACAAGAATGCATCAAATTATACTGCAAAAGAAAAATAAAATATTGTCATAAAAAACAAATGTCATCAGAAAAAAAAAAAAAAAAAAAAAAAAAAAATACTATTACCATTCTTAAATATTTAAATGCAAAAAGTCCTGCCTAAAAGGCAGAGAGCTCAAGATACCAACCATTACCTTCGTTAGCCAGAGAAGGCTGCTCGTTATCTCTCTATGAAACTAGTTTCATGAAGACTAGGGCTGTGTAGTGCCAAGTTGGAGTTCCTGTTGATGTGGAGGGCTGAAACTACCTTAGGAAAAAGGGGGGGGGGGGGGGGGTCTAGGATGCAACTACATTGTCCTTATGAAGAATGCAATATGGCTCCTTAGCTTACAGCAGTGTTTCTCAACGCCAGTCCTCATGGACCCCCAACAGGTCATGTTTTCAGGATTTCCCTCAGATGAAACAGCTGTGGTAATTACTAAGGCAGTGAAACTGATCAAATCACCTGTGAAAAAATAATGGAAATCCTGAAAACGTGACCTGTTGGGGGTCCATGAGGACTGGCGTTGAGAAACACTGGCTTACAGTCACCAACTCAAGAGACATGTCTGACTGACAGGACAGCAATCAAGAAGGCTACCTTGAAAGAGAAGGGAAATAAATAAAAAAGGACAAGGTTGAAACCTGTCCTTTAACCACTTGACTACTGGGCACATTCACCCCCTACCTGCCGAGGCCAAATTTCAGCGCTATTGCACTTTGAATGACAATTGCACGGTCATGCAACACTGTACCCAAACTGAATTTTTACCATTTTTTCTAAGATAGCTTCCTTTTGGTGGTAGTTAATCACCACTGGGTTTTTTTATTTTTGCTAAACAAAGGAAAAAACAACCAAAAATTTAGAAAAACATTTTTCCTTAGTTTCAGTTCTAAAATCTTGCAAACAGGTAATTTTTCTCTTTCACTGGTTTGCGCTGATGGGCATGGATATGCAGCACTGATGGACACTGTTGGGGCTGCACTGATGTCCTCTTACACAGTTGCCAGATACTGGCGGCTCCTGTCCTCACACTGTGATAATGTGAGGAAAGCGCAGACAATAAAACAGACAAACTGTGTTTACATTGTGATCAGCGGTGTCATTAGACACTGTTGATCATGTGGTAAAGGGCCACTGTGATTGGCCCTTTACCATGATCTTTGAACAGCTGTGAGCGATTGACACAGCGATCACAGAGCATGCCAAGTGCACATCCCCAGGTGCGCACGGGAGGCACGATTCAGGGAGGATGTCATATGACGCCGTCCCAGAGCTGGACGACCACCTATAGCCGTCATTCAGCCATAGCTTGCTCGTCAAGTGGTTAAGAGCGCTAAAAAGGTCAAGTTCTAGTCCAGTCCTGATTGTAGGAAGGACATAATGCAAGAAACAGGTTGAAGTTCCAGTGCTCACACACCTGGCAAAGAAGCATTTCCAGGCAGATATCTCTTTCTACAAGTGGCTTTTATTGCTTTAAAATGTTGGAATGACAGAATCAGAGACTACTTTGTCCCTCAAAACCTTGGCTTCAACAACCATGCCATTAAAGACAGTGATTGAGAAGCAGGATGGAACAGGCAGCCCTGTGACAGCAGGTCTGGACTGTTTGGAAATGGCCAGTGGTCCTCTCCTAGAAGTCCAAGTAGGTCTATGTACCAGGCCCTTGTTCTATTTTGTAGGAGCAGTTGAAGAAAGGTATAAATTATCCCGAATTGCATCAAGGGAATTATCAAGGCATCTGATGCCAGTGCTAAGTGACCCTTGGCCCCAGCCACAGACTGAGGTCATTTGCTGTTGAACCTGGAGAGTGGGATATCCACATATGGAGTCACTCCATCTCTGACATATCTGGTTGAAGATTTCAGGGTGTAGGATCCATTACATTTGGTCCAGGTAGTAACGAATAAGGTAAGTCGCCTTCCAAACACCACTCCTGTAAAGTGAACAGACTGTCGGACAAGGTTTTACCATCCATGAGATGAATAGGCCTGCTTCTTTCAAGGCTGTGTGACTCTTGGTACCCCCCTGATGACTGATATAAGCAGAAGCATTTTCTGACTGCACCTTGAACCCATCAGGTGTCCTTGAAAGAGGGTCCAGTGCT